TCAAGGAATGGTGAGGTACCTGAATCTCATTTTCAGAACACCAAATGCTCTTTCAATGGTATTTCGTGCTTTGGAATGTGATATATTGCATCTGAATTCTCTTTGGCCAACAGGATTTGCCACTGGGGTGAGGAGGAATGGTAGCAGTGGATAGGCTGAGTCACCTAATAAGTGATGCCCTTCTAGCAGATCATGTTGAAGATCAAAAAATAATCTGCTATTATTAAATATTCGGCTGTCATGAACAGAACCAGGCCAACGGCACACAAAGTCAAAAATCCCTTTCTACACCTGAACTCTTCTGCTCTAGCACCTCCAGGACTATGAATATGTGTGCAGTCAACTGCACCCAATACCCCAGGAAAACCAGACATTTCAAAATAATAATTCCTGATGTTAGAAAAATGTTCTCTCGATGGTCGTTTCACATAATCTTGTAGCAGAAATGCTATGGCTCGGACTATTTTGGCTGTGCACTTGCTCACAAGTTGTTGTGAAACGTCAAAAGTGTCAGCAATAGTCAACTGGAAGCTACCAGTGGCCATCCATCGCAAATGTAATTAACAGTTGTAGGCGGGGTGGTACTGGTGATCCTGAAAGGAAATACAACATATTTTAGATTTTGACGTTCAGAATAAATCACTATTCTCTAAATATAACCCTTGTTATAAAACATACATATTTAGAACATTTTAATAACTACATCAGCAGATAATTATTTATTTACAAAATATCAACATGGATATAGTATCATGATTACACTAAAAATGTTTTATTTATCAAAAGACATACTTAATAACTTCTTACTTATCTATGTATTTGTGTCAATATTTTAGAAATTTCATTTGGATTTTCTAAAAAAAAAAAAAACTTACAACTGCATTTATAACAATACAAGCAAACGTTATAATGCTGCTAACATAAAATAATTCAACTGGCTCAATTAAAGTCAATATTACCTCCCATCTCGAGTTTCTTGAATCTGTAGCTTGTCTAGTAAATTGAGTGCTGTTGTTTTTGATAAGCGAAATCTTTTGATGAACTCATCATGCAGAGAATGCAAAAGATTCATCCTGTCAGTGATGCACCTTCTGGGAATATCCTGTTAGTCTGCAGCATCTAGGTCTTCAAGGGCTTCAAGACACTCTAATTCATCGAATACTGCAGACATTTCTGAAACAAATTATATTTATCAAAATCCTTGGGAGTTTTACAAGACTAATGTATTTTCACTATGGTATCTGACTTTGAAATGAGAGCTAGGTTAGAGTACTTGGAAAGGGCATAAAATGTGTTCGGAAAATAATGGGTTAGCACTATAAATACACTATTAATGACAAATTCTGCCAATATCAAGTAAATAACAATGCAATTGGTTAAAATGCTCATCACATTCGTGTATTGTCAAGCGATGGTCATGGCCTCCACTAATAACAAGCTAACCAAAACATATTTTCTAGGAAAACTGTGCTTATCGATTTTTCTGATAATTTAATAAACAATTAACGAATATTCAAACCAATATGATGTCCATTAACTTTGTAATGTTTGAGTTGCGGTTGAAGTTCATAGAAGAAGTTTCTTAGAATCACTCGCTCTATCGTTTGCATATATTATTTTTCGTCTAAAAGGCGGCTGTATGAAACTGGACCTGGACCAGTAAAACCTCTCAAAGTGTTGATTAAATGGCCAATGGCAAGACGACTTTGGTACCATCTCATATCTTCACGGAGGAGCAGTTATTCACTTTACTTGCGCAAAACACGTTCACTCACTTTTTAAAATCTTTGGTAATTTTGTATATTACCTTCGCCTCACCGATATCGACGATTTTGGTATCGTTGGATTCCTCTCACTCTGCACAATCCAAATATGAAGGTTTTATTGCGCGGAAACCCCACGTTAGCGGCAAACTTGGGCACTATATCGGGGGCGACGATGATGGAGCGGCGGCCGGAGCGGACCTAATTTAGTAATTTTGACGATTTTGGTATTGTTGGATTCCTCTCACTTTGTACAATCCAAATATGTAGGTTTCATTGCGCGGAAACCCCATGTTAGCGGCAAACTTGGGCACTATATCGGGGGCGACGATGTCGGAGCGGCGGACGTAATATAGAAAATTACCCTATAATATACCCCACAGTGAAAATATCCATGGTTATTCACATGACTTTCCATTGCAGACCCCCCCTAGGGGGGATTGCCGCCCCCCAACCCCCGCCGAGGACACAAAATCTCCACCACGTATTCACGGCAGGATAGAGCGCACACGAACTAGACACGGAGCCGATAACCTACAATAATCTAGGATTTTTAAGGTACTAACCTGATTGATAAATGCCGCCGATAGTAGAGAGGGTGCTCCCTTCACGCAGAATCTCATCCTGGCTTGTTGACACCTCGCGCAGAAAATCTATCTCGGAGTAGAACCCTTCACACATTGTCATCGCGGCGGCCATGGCGAAGTACTGAATGCGACGGTTATTTCGGTTAGGATTTCGAAAATCGTGCTTCCAGGGGACGGGAAACTCGACCTTGAGGCCATCGGCGTAACATAGAGAGAGGCGCAAAACCCGCCGACGAGGGCGCTCTTCTGTTCATGGTATACTCTGTTCATCCTGATTATACTACAATCGTGTGTATACAATGCTGATTCAGTGGGAATGTTACGAGGTAAATGTAATACGTCCGCCGCTCCGCGATCGACGAGAATTGCGTAACGCTCTAGCCTGCCGGGAATACGTGGTGGAGGTTTTGTTTCCTCGGCGGGGGTTAAGGGGCGGCAGCCCCCCCCCCCATGGGGATCGCAAGGGGCGCAGCCCCCTGCAATGGAAAGTCATATGAATAACCATGGTTATTTTCACTGTGGGTTATACTATAAGTGTTATTTAACCTCGATTTTCTCTAGAACCTTCCATGCCCTCCCTTGCAATCGGGGCCAAGTTTCTCGCTAATGGGGGGTTTCCGCGCAATAAAACCTACATATTTGGAATGTGGACAGTGAGAGGAATCCAACAATACTAAAATTGTCGATATCGGTGTGGCGAAGGTAATTTAGAAAATACCATATATATATATATATATATATATATATATATATATATATTATATATATATATATATATATATGATAATATATATATATATATATATTATATATATATATATATATATATATAATTATATATATATAATAGGAGACCCAGGAAGTCATCCTAGAGCCCGAGAAGGAGACCCAGAGAGTCATCCTAGAGCCCGAGAAGGAGACCCAGGAAGTCACCCTAGAGCCCGAGAAGGAGACCCAGGAAGTCATCCTAGAGCCCGAGAAGGAGACCCAGGGAGTTGCCTAGGAGCCTGAGAAGGAGACCCAGGAAGTCGCCGAAGAGCCCGAGAAGGAGACCCAGGAAGTCGCCGAAGAACCCGAAAAGGAGACACAGGAAGTCGAGCCCCCAGGAAGCCGAAGAGCCCGAGAAGACCCAGGAAGTCGCCGAAGAGCCCGAGAAGGAGACCCAGGAAGTCGCCGAAGAGCCCGAGAAGGAGACCCAGGAACGCCAAGAGCCCGAAAGGAGACCAGGAAGTCGCCAGGAGCCCGAGAAGAGACCAGGTCGCCGAAGAGCCGAGAAGGAGACCCAGGAAGTCGCCGAAGAGCCCGAGAAGGAGATCCAGGAAGTCGCCGAAGAGCCCGAGAAGAGACCCAGGAAGTCGCCCAGGAGCCCGAGAAGGAGACCTATGAAGTCGCCGAAGAGCCCGAGGAGACCCAGGAAGTCGCCCAGGAGCCCGAGAAGGAGACCCAGGAAGACGCCGAAGAGCCCGAGAAGGAGACCCAGGAAGTCGCCCAAGAGCAAATCCATACCGTTCCTACCAGGACGATATGGATTGTCTCCTCGGCCGACTTCAGGGTCGTCCAAGAGCCCGAAAAGGAGACCCCGAAAAGGAGACCCAGGAAGTCACCCTAAAGCCCAAGAGGGAGACCCAGGAAGTCGCCCTTGAGCCCGAGAAGGAGACCCAGGAAGTCGCCGAAGAGCCCGAGAAGGAGACCATGGAAGTCGCCGAAGAGCCCGTGAAGGAGACCCAGGTAGTTGCCGAAGAGCCCGAGAAGGAGACACAGGAAGTCGCCAAAGAGCCCGAGCAGGAGACCGAGGAAGTCACCCAGGAGCCCGAGCAGGAGACCCAGGAAGTCGCCGAAGAGCCCGAGAAGGAGACCCAGGAAGTCACCGAAGAGCCCGAGAAGGTGACCCAGGAAGTCTCCGAAGAGCCCGATAAGGAGACCCAGGAAGTCGCCGAAGAGCCCAAGAAGAAGACCCAGGAAGAGCCCTAGAAGGAGACCCAGGAAGACGCCGAAGAGCCCAAGAAGAAGACCCAGGAAGAGCCCTAGAAGGAGACCCAGGAAGACGCCGAAGAGCCCGAGAAGGAGACCCAGGAAGTCGCCCAAGAGCGCATCCATATCGTTCCTATATGGATGGTCTCCTCGGCCTACTTCAGGGTCGTCCAAGAGCCCGAAAAGGAGACCCAGGAAGTCACCCGAGAGCCCGAGAAGGAGACCCAGGAAGAGAGCCCGAGAAGGAGACCCAGGAAGTCGCTGATGAGCCCGAGAAGGAGACCCAGGAAGTCGCCCGGGAGCCTGAGAAGGAGACCTAGGAAGTCGCCCGGGAGCCCGAGAAGTAGACCCAGGAAGTCGCCGAAGAGCCCAAGAAGGAGACCCAGGAAGTCGCCCAGGAGCTCGAGAAGGAGGTCCAGGAAGTCGTCCAGGAGCTCGAGGAGATCCTGGAATTCGCCTTCGAGCCCGATAATAATTCACTGTAGTCGCTAGGGAACACGCGGGAAATGAACGACTACATTCCAATGACATTCCAATGGAAAGACAATAAGGGCAGATGATGAAGGGCTAAAAGTTGGGGTAGGGCCGAAGAGAAGAGGAGGGCCGTAGAGAAGAAGATGAAGGCCGAAGAGAAGAGATGAAGGCCGAAGAGAAGAAGAGGAAGGCCGAAGAGAAGAAGAGAAGGGCCGAAGAGAAGAGGAAGGCCGAAGAAGAGAGGTGAAAAAGGGCCGGGGGAGGGAGGAGCGGGAGGGGGAGGGAAAGGGAGGGGGGAAGAGACGAGGGGAATGAGAAGGGGGGGGGAGTCGAGTGACGCTTTGATAACGTCGTGCGACACAAAAACCGCCGACAGGTGATAATTGTGAACATTACAAGATGTTATCCTCCAGTTTTTTCCTGGCGTGAAACATGTTCTTTCATGTAATTACCTTTGGGCCACTGATACGCTAACCCTTTTCCTAATCCACAAATAATGGGTTTAATTGAGCCAGCCACTCTTTATACCACACCAATGCTCTGAGGCTGGTATGGAGTGATCAAGTGCTGAGTGATCCCTGCCTCTTTGCATAAACTTTACATCTCTCGGTTTCAGAATTCACACCCATTGTCACTTAACAAGCTTCTCTGGACTGCCATATGCTGTCATGTAGTTTCTCAGCTTCGCCACCACCTTCCCACCTCATTTCCCTCTCATTGGATAAAGATTTACGTAACAGGAATGATGGTCTATACACCTGAGGATATATCTATAACCGTCTCCACCCTTTTTCATATCTGTTACATCAATACTCATCCTCTCTAGACCTCGTGTTATCCGAGGGAAATTACCAATTGACTGTGAAAGAGGTTTCCCTATGCCCAAAAGAAACCTTCACAAGCATTTATTGTTTTGATGATACTCATATGTCCAACCCTTTCATGTGAAAGCTTACACGCTTTAGCTCTTCATTCTTTAGCTACAACTATATTATAGCAGATACTGCCATCATTATGCTTTTTGCCATAATACAACAGACCTTCATCTAACTCAAAGTTAGGCAAAACAGTTTTCTTTGGTTTCCTGGTAAGGGCTCACCTTCTTCTAACTCATGTATGCATGCCTAAATACCAAAGCAAAACCTTTGTAGTAAACACATATTACTTTAGCATATTTTCACATCTATGCACATCCAATCTTGTCTTGACAAGATGAAACCATCAAAATATACATGCAGAAAACATAATACCCAAACAGAACACTCCATAATCTGTAAACTCAAAGGAAATATATCTTTCTTTCTTCTTAAAATTGACAGTTTATCTACTCTGAAATAAAACTTTGCTCATCTTGGAACTTGAACTAAACTTCATTTTGGACATTTCAATGATTTTCATTATTTCATATTTTCAAACTATTACTTTTACATTTACTATCTAACTTCTTTCTCAGTATAGGACTTTCACTTAAGAGGAACATGATTTAATTTGCATCTCACTCTGCCAAAAGAGTATAATCCTTCAAACAGTAATTCCAATACTGAGCTTTCAATTTGCTCTATTTAAACAAGCTACAACAGCTTCACAACTTCGAAAAGTGTAGTACCATGCTGGGCATAGTTCAGATACCTCACCTATGCGCTCTTCCTTCCTCCACCTTTTGTATGAGGGGAAACTTGACCAGATCCTCCTCTGTGCGCTGAGTAGTTCCCAAGAAGACAGCCAGATCACTCCCTGGTCATCTTGCCCCTATTCCTTCCTCACCACTGCCTGGCATGGAACAGAGCTTAGGAGTAGTTGCTTTTCTTCTATGCTGCTCCATCTTGAGATGCCCGCTACTACAGCTGGTGGCGCCACGTGCACGGTCATGACCACCTCCAGCTCAGGCATGCTGCAACCTCCTTCCACAGCAGGCCAGGCTCACATTCACCTCTCTTGTACATCTGCAAGAACTTATATACACAGTATTTTGTTGGCACACTACAGTTACACATTACAATCATACGTCTATTCCTAGTCTTTCAGCTTTCCTTCTCACTCTAGGTTTCCTAACATAATTCTTTTTCAGTCTTCAGTTTCACTTTCTGAGTCGAAGTCTACCTTTACACTGTCTGGAATTAACTATGCATCTGTCCCTAAACAAGGCTTGACCTTATCTGATGCTCTTTTGATAGTTTTGTCTGATTTGGGATCACCAAGGATATATGCACCTCCCTCTCGTATCACTACTTCCACTACATATGGTCCTACCTATTTGTGACAAAGTTTACCAGAGGTATAAGGATCAAACACTTCTCTCTTTACCCACACTAAACTACCACATTTCACATTCCTGTTTTGAATTTTCACATTTTTGGTTTGTGAGTGAGTACGTCTTTACTGCTCTGTCCCGCTGTTCTTTCATACTGTCCTCTGCCAATTCCAAACCTTCCTCGTCTGCCGGAAGATCTGCCACCCTAAACTCTATGTACTTTTTAGGATGACCTTTGAAGAATGCCCAATAAGGTGTAGTTCCTGTGGTACTGTGTACCCATTCATTTAAGCTCCTGGCACACCAACTCAAATATTTGGGCCACTGATACGCTAACCCTTTTCCTAAACTACAAATAATGGGTTTAATTGAGCCAGCCACTCTTTATACCACACCATTGCTCTGAGGCTGGTATGGAGTGATCAAGTGCTGAGTGATCCCTGCCTCTTTGCATAAACTTTACATCTCTCGGTTTCAGAATTCACACCCATTATCACTAACAAGCTTCTCTGGACTGCCATATGCTGTCATGTAGTTTCTCAGCTTCACCACCACCTTCCCACCTCATTTCCCTCTCATTGGATAAAGATTTACGTAACAGGAATGATGGTCTATGCACCTGAGGACATATCTATGACCGTCTCCACCTTTTTTCATATCTGTTACATCAATACTCATCCTCTCTAGACCTCGTGTTATCCGAGGGAAATTACCAACTGACTGTGAAAGAGGTTTCCCAGTGCCCAAAAGAAACCTTCACAATCATTTTTTTTTTTTTTATAATACTCATATGTCCAACCCTTTCAAGTGAAAGCTTACATGCTTTAGCTCTTCATTCTTTAGCTACAACTATACTATAGCAGATACTGCCATCATTACGCTTTTTGCCATATTACAACAGACCTTCATCTGACTCAAAGTTAGGCAAAACACTTTTCTTTAGGTTTCCTGGTAAGGGCTCACCTTCTAAGTCATGTATTACTGCCATCCATTTATCTGTCTCCCCTTCTTTACTTTTAAATTTTTCTACACTTAAACCAAAAATATCAGAATTTCCAGTTATTACTTTCACATTATACACTGGTATCCATAACATATCTGCAGCAACATTTTGCTTTCCCTTCATGTATTTCATCTTGTAAGTATGTCCCCGCATTTCAAAAATCCATCCGTTCATACTTGGTCCTTCTGTGAAAAACGGATACAAGAGGCTGGTGCTCAGTATAGATTGTCACACCGTTTCCCCATATATAATGTGCAAAATTACCACAAGCCAACACTACTCCTTAAGCCTCTTTACCTGTAGCTGAATAGTTTACCTCTGCCTGGTTTACTTTTTTTCATGAAATAACCAATTACACCTAATTCACCGTCTGCTTGTACCTGCCTTAGAACTCATCCAACTGCATAATTGCTGGCATCTGTTGTCATGGTCAGTGGTTTTCCAACATCTGCCTTCACAAGAATAGCTGATGACATCAGTGCTTCTTTTAGTTTGTGACAAGCAACCTCGCACTGATCCTTCCAAATAAATTTACCTTCTTCCTTAGTGACATTTGTTAAGGGTATTGCTATTTTAGCAAAGTTTTCTATGTGATGTCTATAAAAACCTACCATCCCTAACAATCTTTTAACATCCTTTACATTTTGGGGATCTTTCATACCATTTATACCTTCCAGGTTCTTTGGGTCAGGCTGACACCCTTGTTTAGATATTACACTAACCAAAAATCTGACTTCTTTTTGACCAAGGTTACATTTTCAAGTTTAGCTTTAACGCCTTTTTCTTGAAGATGCTCAAAAAAAATTCTCAATAGAAGTACCAATTCCTCAAATGAGTTTGCAAACACAATCACATCATCTAAGTAGTTTTTGACTCCTTTTTTTATCAAAAGTCCTAAAATTTCTCTCATCTAACTCTTTTACATCTCTTGGGCGTAATGCCGACATTCTACTTTCACTAGCTTCCGCTAATAGGGCTCTAAATGTGTTGGTCATGTTTAACTTACCTGCGGAGTCCTCCATTTCTTTAGAAAATGTTCTTTTAGTCATTTTAGGTAAAGTTCCTGTTTCTCTAGGAGTTGAGGCCACTAACCCCTTTAAGGCATATCCAGATTCTCCGTCTTTCTCTGTATCACTCATTTTGCCAATCTGAGCTAGTAGTCAGACTAGTCATAAACTTCACTATATCTAAACCCTGACAAAATTGATGGTGAAATCAAGCACATACACTGGTCTTTCTACTTTTGTCCCCTTATTTTCAAACACGTAGGTTTCCCATCAACTGAATACTTTAATCTGCAATTAAATTTAAGTCACCTAACTTGACACCACTTCCCCTGTACTTTATTGGCATCAATACCTTCATAGCCTAGTTGTTAATATTTACATCTCAAGCCAGAAACACCACTGCACACCATTTATGTCGGAGGTAATTGCTTGACTTATAATTACGCTCCATAAATCTGTTAACCCTTTGAATATCCTTACTGAAGGTCCATCAGATTTCCTATAGGCATTCTATTAAGGAATTTACCTTGTTTCCACCTTCGTCGGTAAGCCGCCACCAGTAACCATTTTTATAGTCTAAACTATGGATAATGGTTAACTTAACCTTTTCACTCTTGAAGATAATTTTTATGTAAGATAGCTGGCATGCTTTGGGTCAGCAGACACTGGATTCAAGGTCACTTCGGAAGCAATGGCAGGTCCTTCTGGCATTGATCATGCAGATAAGGCTACATAACCCCTCATTATATATTATCAACAACCAGATTTATTAGGAATAAGCATGGATCAATGAAGCAAAATATTCCTCCCTTGAATAATACTATTAACTTTTTACTTTCCCAAATGTTATGTCCTAATTATTTGCCCAACTTTTTTCCCACAACCCAATAATTGAAGTTTTCACTCTTTTCCCTCAATCTCTTTACAACACATTTTCAAAAATAATAACAAATTTAATAAACAATCGCAGCATTACTATTTCCGTCCAAAAAACGTTGCAATGACACTAAGGCTCGTACTTTTAAAACCTTCGCCAGTGCTGAGTGAGGGAGGCCTTACTTTTAAAACCAACGTTCGCCAGGGCGGGCGAAGGGATCGCCAGGCGCTAACATCTTGCATTCCCGCTAAATCTAGCGCAAATTTGTTTACATCTGCAGTGCACATAACATAACCTAAACTTAATTATTAACCTCGAGAGAAGAAGAAAATGTTGTTTCCGCATAGTCTCACTTTATACTATAACAAAGGAGTTAAAATTTAACATTATGCTATAACAAAGAAACTGAAAATAACTTTACACTATAACAAAATTAACTTTATACTTTATACTATAACAAGGTTAACTTTATGGCCCATACTTTTAAAACCTTTTGCCTTTTCTCGCGTTTTTTCATTCGCCGAAGCACTAGATTTAGCAGGAATCCAAGATGTTAGCGCCTGGCGATCCCTTTCGTTCGCCAGGCCTGGCGAACACCTGCCTTGGGTTTAAAAGTAAGGCCTCCCTCACTCAGATGTTCGCCCTGCCGAAGCTTGGCAGGCGAATGCCAGCATTGGCGAAATGTTTAAATATTACTTTATACTATACTATATCATCTTTGTACTTTTATACAAAAAATAACTTTATACTTTAACAAGTGTTTAAAAATTACTATTTTCCTATTCCTAACTGATATAAAAAATTTAACTGTAGGCCTACAAGGGTATCATTAGACACGCCTCATTATAGGGCGGTGGAGCACTACAGCTATGTTTCTATGGCCAAAAGTAAACATGCCGCCATAAAAACTTCTGGTAACATTTGTGGGTATAAGTTGAAGACCGCGACACGCGTAAATAGAGGAAAATGGACACCGCCATCTTATAGAGTGGGAAAAATAGGAGGCNTGAATAAAAAATGATATTACGAAATAGCCGAAAATGTTTGAGTACATTAGAGTGAGTGAGGCAAGAGGAAATATTCATATTGCAATGTCTTGCATGACAGGAATATGTCCAACACATTTTTCGACTTAGAGCAATTTAAGAATTTCATATACCCGTACACAACCACACATCTACATGAATATACACGCACATACACTAGTAAGAGGATCTTCACTTGCTCACTATTATCGTTTTGGAAAAGCGCAGTTCATTACACGTATTTGCATATATCCATATGCATTAGAAAGATTTCATTACAGAATGCGTGGCATATGAATTTTGTCCTTGGTTTTTTGTTTTAAGAATATCACTGGTTCTCTAGATCTCATTCATTTACATCAATTTTCCCACCTGTCACTTTTTGTTGTATAAAGTAATTATCGTATATTATTTTTTTCTTCGTTTTTTTTCTTTCTTTCTTTCTTTGTTGCACTTGAATGGCAGAAAATCTGTTTTCGTTACATAAATTCCTTCAAAAGCCACACATATTCTCATTTTCTCTTTTCAAAAGGCCCTTTTATTTTCTGTCACCGCCGGAGCGAGCGCCATTCGGTTCAGTTCCTGCTGCGATAGCTACGCAGACGTCCCAATTTGCACGAACTTTTTCCCCACTATGGCTCAATATCTACATAGAACGAAAATGAAAGAAATAAAAAGAAGACTCTCTAAGACTCTCTAATTCACCTAAAGAAAAAGAAAAAAGTAAAAAAGAAAAAGAAAAGAAAAAAAGAAAAGAAAAGAAAAAGAGAAAAAAAGAAAAAGAAGGAAGAAGAACAAGAAAAAGAGACGAAGAAGAGAAAGAAAGATAAGAGAAGAAAGAAAGAAGAAAGAAAGAAGAGAAAGAAAAGAAAGAAAGAAGAGAAAGAAAGAAAGAAAGAAAGAAAGAAAAAAAAAAAAAAAAAAAAAAAAAAAAAAAATAAAAATATTATATATATATATATATATATATATATATATTATATATATATAATATATATAATATATACCTTCACTCACTCGGGGGTAGTATCTTGAGGGGAAGAATGAATTTTCCTCGAGATACAGAACCAAATCAGCTAGGAGCCGTGCTCATTTTTATTTTATTTATTTATTTTTTGTGTTGTGTTTGTGTGTGTGTGTGTGTGTGTGTGTGTGGGTGTTGTGTGTGTGTGTGTGTGTGTGTGTGTGTGGTGTGTGTGTGTGTGTGTGTTGTGTGTGTGTTGGATGTGTTGTGTGAATTTTATTCCAATCATGTGTTTATACATATATATTGTACTATGTGATTTTCCAAATAACTCATTTTTTCACCAAATATATGTCCATTTGTTCAGCTGCGAATTAATGGTTTATGAATGTAAGCTGTTTTGCAAACATATTACGTTTGTGAACCTTTGTGATTTGGAAAATATATATTAGTAAATTGTTTAGTTTGACTACATAACTCACTCTATACCGGCATGGACAACTAATAACGAGGGTTTAGGGTTGCATGTTGTATTATGAATATCATTACCTGATAGAAGGAGAGACTCTATCTGTTAATATGGAATGCTTTTGCATAATCTCGCACTTTTTCCTAGTAGATGCATTGCAAAATCTTTCCACAAAGAATTGTACGTTATAAATGTTTCATATGTCACATCGAATTTCCTGTCTCCTTCTCCGGAAATCTTTACGTACCAAATTGCTCTCATACTTACCATTTTCCCCCTTAGTTTAGTTGGCAGAATCATGAACTGTAACGGGTAGCAACAGGTGTATCAGAGTGCACATCCTCCTCAGTTGTCACTTACAGAACTTGCCAGACAACTGGGGTATGCCACGCGTGTGCAAGTAATTGGCAAGGAAGAGATTATACACGGGTCACTGATCATTCCACAGCGACGGGTATTTCTCGTTTTTCTCTGTCTAATCTTTTTCTCTTTCACCTTTTTTTCTCGTCCTTGTTAGCGCGGCCTTCGTAGAACCAAACGCGACGGCTGTAAATTCCACTTCTTATTAATCGCCATGAAAAGTGCACTGTCGATGATGAATATATGTTGTGCAAAATTATTGCTGTGGATGTACATTTCGTGCAACTCGCCGATCTGACTAAACAAATTTCATTCTCAAATTTCATCTGAGTTTTATTATATGCAGCTCCAACACATATATATATATATATATATATATATATATATATATATATATATATATATATATATAATATATATATATATATAGGTAGAAAGATAATATATATGGAGAAATATCTAGGAATATATTAATATACTTTGCAAATGTATAAATACAATCAGCGACGTTTGCAACATATACGCTCTTTATATATATGAAACATTTGACACAATTTTTGATGAATCGTTAAAAGGCAATATATTAAATGCAAATGATAAGGGAATAACTCGCCACCGGCAGTAAATTTAATAACAGACGACTGCGACAAGAACAACAAACAACAATTAACAAAACATAATAAACATACGAATAACAACCAGGTGATGTCTCCGGAGCAAGACCACATCAAACTATACCATGACACTTCCCGCTCTGTGGAAGACCAACAAACCTCAGCCAGAGATATTCGTGGAGGCTGAGCCGGGAGTGGCTCCTCAGACGTCGAGTGCGGAGTCACCGATGAGCGCGCCAGCCTGTGTGTGTGTGTGTGTGTGTGTGTGTTTTCTATTTTTTAACATGTTTATTAGGACAACCATCTATATACATATATGCATATTATACATATTAAATATATACATACATATATATATAAATATATATATATATATATATATATTATATATACACATATAATCACACCAAACAGTACAAATTTCCCGAACAAAAAATG